AGGACTGAAACCTGCATTCAGGTGGCTTGCCTGTTTTGGGGGCGGGCACAATGTGGAGCCCTCTCTGCCGGTCGGTTGGCCAGTAAGCTGTCTTCCAAATGTCTTGGCATAGCTGGGTGAACACCTCTAGGGCTGCGTCCAGTTGCTGGAACATTTCCGTGGGTTTTTCTGTCCACGCCTGGCGCCCGTTTCCACCCATGCCATCAGGGCAGCTTGAGTTTCTTCCTTCAGGACCAACCATTTCTTGACTAGATCCTGCCTCCTGACATGGCCGCGTACTGACTAGTTCTTTTTGGTACAGTAACATCATCCTTCCATCGTCTCTGCATGTTTCACTGTTTTGCCCATGGGCTCAGAATACCAATGGCTTTGATGTGACCTGAGGCAGGTTGGGGAGGGAGTGGGGAGTCGGGAGGTGGGGAAACACAGAGGGAAATATTAGATGGGCTGAATTTGAGATGCTTCGTAGTCGCTACGTGTAAAGATCAAGTAGGAAGCTGAATACAGGGGTCTGGAGTTCAGGGGAGCATGCTGGCCTAGAAATCATCCCACCAGTAGGGGGAGAAAGGCTGGACTTGGACACCCCAAGTTCATTGTAGGCCACACCACTGTACTTTTTTGAGGAGCTGTTAAGATGGATGGATGGATGGATGGATGGATGGATGGATGAATGGAAGGACAAGCAGGCAGGATCGGGCACTTGGTGCTGACCTGTGGTTTTCTCTGCCAGCTCCCCTCTGCCTGATGACCCTGCTGATGCCACCTTTCCGCCAAGCAGCTCCTATCTCCCCAGCTGAGCCCATCAAGCAAGCCTACAGTCTGGCCCTTTACATGCAGAAGAACACGTCAACGCTGCTGCAGACTTACGTGAGTGACTCTGGGCCTGCGCCAGGGGACGAGGGGGGCGGGCACTGCCCCCTTGGCCTAGTCCTGGGTCAAGAAAGCACAGTAAGCGCAGGAGAAGGCTCCCCTGAGAGTCCAAGAGGACAGGGACTTTATTAACTAGAGCCACACCTACACCAAGGCCGTCGCCGATGGCTGTGTGACTTGGGGCAAATGATCTCTCCCCTCTGGGCTTCGGCTTTGTCAGCTGCAAAATGGGACAGTGACCCCACCTTGGCCAGGAAGGCTGGAGTGTTTGAAGGAACTCACAGGGAGGCACAGCTTGACAGAGCCATATCAAGGGCTTTGCACAGTTATTCCCAACAGCCACTCGTGCTGCCTGCTTACCCGAGCCTCATGCCACGCAGAGCAAGCTAGTTCCTTGTTTGACTGGCTCCTCAAAGAGTTGAGAAGCGGAATTTGTTTCCCCATTAAGCTATACATTTTATTATTATTATTTTAATAAATCATTTTATTGGGGGCTCTTACAGCTCATCGAACAATCCACACCTCAATTGTATCAGACACATTTGTACATATGTTGTCACCATCGTTTTCAAAACATTTTTGTTCTGCTTGAGCCCTTGGTATCAGCTCCTCTTTTTTCCCTCTCTCCCCCTCCCTCGTGAACCCTTGATAAACTATAAGTTATTATTTTCATATCTTACACCTTCTGCTGTCTTCCTTCACCCATGTTTCTATTGTTTGTTCCCCCCTGGGAGGGGATATATGTTGATCATTGTGATCGGTTCTCCATTTCTCCCCCTACCTTCCCCCAAGAAGTGGAATTACGGTCCCATTTTATAGATGTGAACACTGAGTCTTAGGGTAAATCAGGTGTCCACGGTTTCACAGCTAACAAATGACCATGCCAGGAATTTGAAATCAGGTCTGTGGGACACTGCCATCTATACACACATTCCTTCACCCCCACCCCCACCATGACACTGCAAAAGTAAAAATTGGTATCCTACTGGCTGCATCTGACCCGCAGATGTTTATAGTTTGGCCCACTCGTGCTTAATTATGAATGCCCATCTACACCAGGCACAGGGTACCTGTTGGTTCCTAAGCCCCAACCTCTCCACGTCATCTAAATCCTGCCTTCTTCCCCCAGTGCCATGATCTGTCTGGCCCCAGGCAGCCCTGCAGTGGGTGACTGAGCCACTGAACTCTATCCTAGGTGCACACGACGTCATTTCCCAGAGGGTCTTGGGCAAGGTCCTTCTCTGTGTCTTCCATGTATCTGATGCCGGGCTGGGACTGGGTGACCCATCAGTGAAGGGGCCTATTAGTCTGCAGGAGCTCTGTCTGTGGAGGCAAGAGTTGAATGGAGAAGGCTCTGGAACAAACTCAACTACGCTAACCATCCTTTATGAATGGTTATAAACCGTTGTGAAGAGGCCCTGTGTTACCCGTGGTGAAGTGTGGAACTGCTGATGGAAAGCTCAGTGGGCCTTGGGGGGGGGGGATGCAGCAGGGGGCTTCTAGGGGCCCCTCTCTGTCCTACAGGGTTCCTGTGAGGCAGAATTAATACGAAGGTGGGGTGGGGGGGTGTCACTCGGTTTCTGTTTATTTTGTTTTACCTTTGGATCGTGAAACGGACAAACCATGAAGTGCTGTCAATTTTTTAAAAAAGTAATCGTGCTGGAATGATAGTCGATAATAAACTTGGATTGAAAAATGTGCCATAAATAACAATCATCGTGTCTGTTGATATTAATAGAACTATTTCATTCAAAACGAATGCTGCCTTCCTCCCAGCCAAGGTCGGCCTGAGCCCTTTATAGTTTATGATTGACACTAGGGGGCTTCAAAAACTGTGTGTGTGTGTGTGTGTGTGTGTGTGTGTGTGTGTGTAAATACCATTGTTGTGCAATTCCATTTTTCCAGACTCTTTTGAAAGCCCCCTCTCACCTAACCTCCTGGTGTCTTTATGATCACTGTTGGGGGCTGGAGAGTCGATGTGGACTCTGAGTGAGGGCTGACCCCTGTGTCCCGGGCTGCAGTCTTCGCCGGAGCAGGCTGCCAATGTCTTGCTCCAGCTTGGCTGTGCTTCTGGATGTGCTCAAGCCGGAGCCCTTGTGGCACGGTGGTTAGGCGTGGGACTGACGAACCGCAAGGTCTGCGGTTGGAAGCCACTGGTCGATCCTCTGGAGAAAGACAGGGCTTCCTATACCCCTCTGGAAGAGTTCCAGTCCCGGACACCCACAGGACCAGTGAGTGCTACCCTGTCCTACGGGGTGGCCAGGAGTCACCTTTCCCGTCAGTCAGCCGCTGAGCCCTGCATGGTGATGCCCCAGGGCTCCTTCCAGCCACAAGGGTTCATGGGAATGATTCAGAAATGTGTGGTTCCAAGTGGGGATGGCAGCACATCATGAAAGAGGCAGCATTGGGACCACAGGGAGCAGGCTGGGGATGACCCGAGGGAGGGCATCAGGGAGGGCAAAGGCGAAGACAGAGAACCGGGGCCACCTCTCAGTCCCCTCACGCCCGCCTGTCTTTCTCCCTCACACAGCTCCAGTACCAGGGCAGCCCTTTCAGTGACCCAGGCTTCTCGGCTCCAGAGCTCCAGCTCAGCAGTCTGCCTCCGGCCGCCGTCTCCTTTAAGACCTGGCATGCCCTGGAAGATGCGGAGCGGCTGGGCCGAGCCCAGGAGGCCTTCCTGGCCTTGACCCAGCACCTCCAGCTGGTGGGGGACGACCAGATCGACCTGAACCCCGGCAGTCCCATTCTGCTGGCCCAGCTTGGGGCTGCAAGGCTCAGGGCCCAGGGCCTTCTGGGTAATATGGCTGCCATCATGACTGCCTTGGGGCTGCCTGTTCCCCCGGAAGAGGACACTCTTGGACTGGTCCCATTCGGGGCCTCGGCCTTTGAGAGGAAGTGTCGGGGCTACGTCGTGACTCGGGAATATGGTCACTGGACAGACAGAGCTGTGAGGGACCTGGCTCTGCTCAAGGCCAAATACTCGGCATAGGGGGGTGGGGGGCTTCCTGTCAGAGGTGGCAACAGGCACAACGGACTGGAGTCAGCTTGGCTTGTCAGCTAACAAGGAGTCACAGCTTATGGAGCAGGTGGGACATATACGCCCTATCTTTGGGAAGACTCTTTGGAAACCAAGCCTCAATTCCCTATTTCCCGGACCTTCATGCCTGACTCCTGTGGCCTCCCTTCCAGTTCAGGGGAGATCTCCAGTACTACCATTTCCGGATTATAAGCCCAATGGTACTGGCTGCAAACTTCCTAGGTGGGAAGTCTAAGAGGGCTTGCCTCCCACTCTGCCGAGCAAAGACAGATGGCTTCCTTCCTGGCTTCTCCTGACGCCATCTCTTCTCGGGTTGACCTTCCTATCTCTGCCTACCTCACTTCCTATGTGAAGACTCGGCCTTCTGAGCAGATGGGCTTCTGTTCTTCCTAGGGAGGAGCTGATTCCTCCCACCCCCACCCCAGTCTACCTCTTTTGGAGCCCTGGTGGTGCAGTGGTTAGGCACTGGACTGCAATCCTCAAGGCCAGCAGTTCAAAACCACCAGCCACTCCTCAGGAGAAAGATGAGGCTTGATGAGTTAAAGGATTGGAAACTCATAGGGCCTTGTCCTATAGGGTCCCTCTGAGTCAGCACTGACTCTGTGGCAGTGAGTAATCTACCTCTCGCAGGAGCCCCAGTGACGTAGCTGGTTATGCACCGGACTGCCAACTGCAGGTCAGCAGTTCGAAATCACCAGCTGCTCCACTGGAGAAAGATGAGACTTTCTACCCTTGTACAAAGTGATGGGCTTGGAAACCCCAAGGGGCAGTTCTCCCCTGTGCTAGAGGGTCACTGTGAATCAGAAACGGCTCAGTGGCAGTCAGCTTAATCTACCTCTCTGCCTGTGATCCCCGCTCCAACTTCCTGTCTCCAGGAGCTTAATTTCCGGATCAACAGAATTCCAGATCTGGAAGTTCTAAGGACTCGATATCATACTGTCTGCTCAGGACACATCCACTTCCTATTCTGGGCTGGTGGTCAGTGTCCCTGGTCCTGGGGCTCCCCTGCAGTTCCTATTGATGCTGTGCCCTTTGGGGGAATGACAGTTATGTGTTGGACTGTGATCCCCAAGGCCGGTAGTTGAAAACCACCAGCCTCTTGGGGAGAAAGACGGGGCTCTACTCCCGCGTTCCAGTCTTGGAAACTCACAAGGGCAGTTCCAGCCTGTCCTGTAGGGTCAAGATGCCAATGAGTTTGGTTTGGATTTCTTGGGTATGGCTATGGGACCAGGCTACACTCTAAAGATCCTATTTTCCTCAAAACAGTTCCCCCATTTTCAACAACTGTATATACAGGTAACTTTGGTTTCCTTTTTTCAATTTTATTTGGAAACATTTTACAAAAATTAATTTATTCTCAGAAATAAAACCCTGTTTTTCCAGGTGTGATGTTTCTCTCCACATCGGGGTGAGATGAGGGGGTGGGTACAGGGATGGGGCAGAGGGCGGTGGAGCACGAAGGTGGGACAGCACCTTCAAAGGGGAGGGGTGGGCGGGGCCGGATGGGATGGGATGGGGGCGAGTGGGAGCAGCAGGCAAGGTGGGCCTGGGGACGGACAGTGGCTGAAAGTGGTCCCAAGAAGCCCTGCCACCACAGGGCCAGCAGGCACTGCCCTGGCGAGGGGCACGACAGAGAGCCAAACGAAAAATACAAGGGGAAATGATTTGCAATTTGTGTCCCCGCCCCCCATAACGCTGAGACTCAGTGCCAC